TTTCACAAAATTAGCTTTAAAATGTAGCTCTGTAGGGTTAGATGCAATTTGACAAAGGTCAACCCTAAAATGTACAGTCTAACAACTCAATTAATTCTACTAATTTGGTTAAAATACTATGCAGACTACCTTAAATTAGTAAATGTCCTGTGAAATGGATCAAAAGGTCATTTCTTAGCTGACATTGTGACATTTTCCTTCCTGTTAGTCATTTATATTATGTAATACTTTACAAAATCTGAAAACATGTTAGTAGATTTAATTATGGACAGTGAATTATCCATATTCTATAGTCACCAACAATAAGGCAATGGATACATATACGATGTATTTACTACAAGTGAATTTGTGATGTCTTACTTTAAAATAAGTTTTTAATCAGTTGAAGTTAATTCTTAGAGTACCTCTTATTTGGTTCCATGCATAATACCAAAATGAATCACTATATTTCTTCACAGTTTATCAAATTATCATTATTAATACCCCTGCTCCTGGTACAATATGTCATTAACATCTCAATTTTGTGCTGAATTTCAATGATTGTGTAATCTGAGTATAAATAAAAAGGGAATTTATTCATTCTGTTGAAAGCCAGTGACAATAGATACAAAAACACATAACTATTCCTGTGAGATTACAGCTTTGGTAAAGAAAATTGGCAAATAACATAGTATTCATTTTAAGTTATTAATATTTATTATTACTACTTCCAGGTAAAGAAGCCTGGAATCTGATGCTACCTAGGTAAAACAATTCAAAATTTTGTTTGCCAATGCCAATTTATGTAATTTATTGATACTTCTTACAGTTTGCAACTGATCTAACAAAATATTACTTTACATTTCATTTTATTTATTGGAAATTCCATTTTGGAGAAAGTGAAGAATGTGTATGCAAATATTCATTTTTGACTGTAATGGTGGTGTCAAATTATGCTCTCCTGAGGTAATACAAGCCATCAGAAAGAGAAAGAAGGGCTCTATCTATTTTGGGGTACCTACTGTGTGTTTCCTCTGTTCTGTCATTTGTTTCATTTAATCCACACAGAAGATAATAGTCTGATTCCAAATAATCTCAGTAAGTTAAATGCCATTTCATTTTTATAACAAGGATAAAATCTAGTTCAACCATGTGTTAGGAATGTCCAACTATTAGTCAGGAATGATTGGCTTAGGGTCTTTCAATTTAGGTGTTAGATTTTTTGAAAGGAAGAAAGATTTAACCTTCAGGAAGCTTTTGGAAAACACATTGGTAGGACTTTTTGCTCAAAGTTTTGGTTACATTTTAAAGTTTTTGAGAACATCATACACTTCAGAGTAATGGAACATTCTTTCAGAGGTCAGAGAAATGCCTCTCACTTAGGACTGCCTGTGGACCTACATTTTTGCCATATTAAGATAGGAATAGCATAACGATGTCTTGATTAGCAGTAACTCAAGGAAGCTGATCAGTTAGGTGTGATTATTTCTAGAAAATAACATAAGACCATTTGCTTGAGAAGTTCCAGACATTTTAATCTTTTAGAAGTGACTGGAAGAAACATTAGAGTAATAACAAGAATAAGTTGTTAAAATAGTATTTGAACACATACAAATTCCTAAAGGGACACATAAAAATTCCTGTGGAGATATCACAATTAGGCATAAGGGTATTTTTTGTGGCTTCATTTATAACAGTGATATTTTGGTTTTAGAAAAATCTATTAAACAGAAATAAAACTCTCTTTATTAGAGGGTTACATTTTTAGTTGGCATATAAAAGAAATTTCCTAAAAAATCAATTAGCAAGAGATTGATAGTGAAGGAACAGAATTTAAATGGCATGCTTCTCATCTGAAGAACTATTGCTCAGAATTGATGCATTTTAGTTAAAAATACAACTAAAGTTTATAATTTCAGAAAACTTTATATTTATAAATAAATTCAGAATAAAAATTGACCTCTATATCAACAACTCAAAACCAAAAATACATTGTCATCTATAAAACTGTTAATCTTATTTTCAACAAAAAACGAACATAACAATGTGCAGTTGAAGAGATTATATTCTTTTGAGGGGAAAACACTAAAAGTAGTCAAAATTCTGGAACTTTTTCTTGAATAATGTCAGAAAAGAAAAAAAAAATAAAAGGAAAGATGCCAATTTACTTTGCCTTGGAGATTCTGAATATATTTTGACACAACAAAAATTAGACATACACAGGAAGAAATGGTCCTTGAATTGACAGAAAATCTGTCATCAACAGAATGAATCAATTTAATCATGCAAGTGACTTGAAGAAGACAGCTGAAAAGCCATTTTCAACAAAGTGATGGATGACGGTTTTACTGAAGATTACACTGTGATTCATGTAAAAATATTTTATTTTTATCTTTCTTAAGAAATTTGCCATTGGCAATCTCTTTATGTGGATATTTCTAGAGTCTACTAGCCAATCTGAGTTACTTATGGGATATAAAATATTTTGCCTTATTCCATACAGCTTTATGAATCACCAATAATATTAGCTATATCCAGTTAATCTGATATATGACTGGAATATTTACAATTTAAAAAAAATTAACGAGTAATAAAGAACAAGCTTAACTTCACCATTGTCGAGTCTAACAAACGAAAGAAAGATTTTCCATGGTTTCTTTAAAGTAAGAACTTGAAAACTTTATGAGGCCTATATAGTATAAAAATTGAGTTTCTGTATTTAACGAGGTCAGTTCTTTGATGTGAGATTTCAGATTTCTTTTTCAAATATGATTTAAAATTTTGCTAATATGTAGTAATTGATCTCTTAAATTTGGGATCAATTTATGCGCTGGATAATTCCAAATTCATAACTGGAATTATTCTCTGAACAAATCATTCGTTCATTCATTCATTCATTCATTGTACAAATCTTTGTTGAATGCCTCCCATGTATCAGGTATTGTGACAGGTCTTTGGTGAGGTACTGGACAACAAGTTGAGAAAGTCAACAAGACAGGCATGATCCTAGCCCTCCTGAAGCAAACAGCTTAGCATGAAAACACAGTTTCCAATACAGTGTGATAATGGTACAGTGAGAGAATTACAGAGGACATAATAGTATATGGAAGAAAACTTAAGAAGTCAGTCAGATGTGGGTAGGAAGGAGCTGGAAGCAAAGCCTTCCTAGAGGTAGGTACATCTAAACTGTAGCTGAAAGATTTAAATACAGAAGGCCAATAAGGTGGTGGGAAAAGTTATTTTTGCCATTTTTTTCTCTCTGGGAGAAAGACATTAAGAAAGAAATGGGAAAAGAAAGATTAGTGTTTGGTTTGAGAAAATGAAGCACATTTAGAAGAGTGTGGCAAGAGACGAAATGGGCTAAATCATGCAAAGATATTTAGGCTATATTAAGGAATTTGCACTTATTCTGAGGGAGCAATTCAAGGGTTTTAACCAAGGGAGTACGAAAATCATATTTCCATTTTAGGAAAAAAAACAACCCTACTATTTACAACTTGAGAAATAGATTTGGAGAGAATAAGACCAGAAACAGTAAAGCTGGTTGAGAGGCTTCTCTAAGAAACTTAGGTAAAAGTGAGTAGTAGCCTGGATCATGGAAGTGGCGGTGGGGCGGTGAGAAGTGAAATAATTTTAGGGTTCGTGAATCCTTCTTATTAGTATTTGAAATCATCAGTACTTACTAAACCAGTTAATGAGAGTGCATGGAGCTAGTGAAAGAGACCTTAGCAGGAAGGGTGGCCTGGAAAGGACACTGGGAAATATCAGATAGGAGGATGGAGGAAAACAGAATATGGTGTCATGGAAGTCAAGTAAAGGGAATATTTTAAGAAAGAGGTAATGTCTTAAAAGCATGAACACTGTGTTGCTCGCTCATATGTCATCACTATTCATTGTGTTATGTGATGCTTCACAGGTCCATCACAAATAAACATTTGTTAAATTAATGATTTAATTTAATATGCACTACTACATATAAGACAAGGACATCAGGTTGGTGCTGGAATGATGTACAAAAAAACATACTCTGTACCTTCAAAAATTTCATAGAATAGTCATTGGAGAAAGACATACGTAATTATCTACAATGTGTGGTAGCTAATGAAAGAGCTCAATACAGCTTTAAGTCAATAAAGATCCAGGTAGATAAGGAAAGTAAAGAAAAAAGTGAATATTTCTAATTGTGAGAATAAGAAAAAGTAATTCCAAGTGAAGAAATGACTGAAAAGGGAATATTATAAATTTCAGGTGACCTGGTAAAAACAGTTTCAGATTTGTCAAATCTGGTTTGGTGAGGGGTGGCATTTGCTATTTTAATTGTCTTCGTGATTTCCAGGAATACAATGAATTACCACAGTTTTTAAACTCTAGGATGCAGAATAAAAATCAACAACAGTAGGACTCACATCTTTAAAATAAGGGGACCTCATTATGAAATTGAGCTGTCTTATTTTTCTTCGGCAGAGAAGACATTAACAAATTTGTGCATACTTAAAAGTACTTCACAAATAAGTACATTTCAAGAAGATTGTTTTAAAAAGCACTGACTGTAACCTTACTTCACTTGCAAATGGTAGAGACTGCAGTATCTATGTTTTCCTTCTGTAAGCAAGCTCTGTTAGGAGAATGTAATCAAATTGCTCCATTGCTTAGCAACCATAGGTAAAGAGCTAATATATGTCATGAGTCATGATTCTATGAGAACAATCTGCAGGTCATTGGCATGATTTCAACACCTTTTGGATTCCGCTGTGATGCTTTCAAAACCAATATTAACACAAAGCATTAGAATAGATGAGAGTTAAAATGCAAATGCTCTCATAATTGATCAATTGACCTATGCACAGTGTAATGTGGTACGATCTGCTGCATCAACCTGACAATAGCATCTATCAATCAGCACCACACCAAAAATAGCCCACAGACATGGCTTCAGAAGGAATTTCTGTTTTACCAACTTAGTCAAGCAGAAGATGAAGGCACACTGAAAGTAGTTGCAAGGCAAGGACTCCGACATTTACCTAGCCAACAGGAAGAGGAGAGGAGGGTGATGAACAGTTTTGGAAAAGTTTACCTGTAACCACTGTGACTGGTCATTGTGGCCAGAGGTCCAGGCATTCACTTTGCCTTGCTTGTCCAGTCGAGCTTTCCTTGGTTCCCAAGTGAACATGTCCATGTTGAGCGTTCTGAAGACGCTGGAAGCAGTGATTTGATAGTCTTGTATATGTCCTGATTTCATACCCAGAGGCTCAGAACAGCCTGAAAGAAAATGAGAAGGGCTCCATGAGAAAAATAATTTATCAGCCTGAAACTTTTCTGTGTTCATTTTTGTATAGGCAAGGGAAGATTAAATATAATGTGATTCGTTTCCCCAAAGAGAGAGCATCTAAATTCAAAAAAAGATAGGCTATAATCAGAAATAAATCTGGAACAAAATTGAAAAACAAGACAGTCAATTCAGGCTATTTTGTCTGAATATACTTCGGAAAAATTGAAAACAAGACAGACAATTCAAAGTACTTTTCTGTGATAGATGATTTTGCAAAATGAAAACAATGCTGAAATGCTCTCTCCTGTCTCATTACTGGGAGCCTCATGACTGTTCTCTAGTTTTCAACGGTTTCAATGTGAGTTTTAAAATGGGACATTTTCTCACAAAGTATTTTTAGTTTTCTTTTATTTGTTTTCATAATACTGCAAATGAAAATTCCCTCAATACAAAGTCATTTTCACAAACTGCTCCACTCTTATATATTAAACTGGACAGCACTTTATTTTCTAAGAAATATCTGTTAATCTTTATCACTGATTCTTATACACCAATGAGGCTTCTTCTGGAAGGCAGGAAGCTAATATTTACTCAGTGTATACTATGTGTGAGGCACTGTGCAGTGTAGAATTTAAACTAACAGATAACAAAAGAAAACAAGCAAATTCTAGCAAAAATCATTACTAGACAAACCTTTTAATAAATTCTTATATTTCAATCATACTCAATACCTCTAGTGTTTGGGTATTTTTGGAAGATTCTCAAGTCTCTTGCATATATTTTCAAGTTTGATATGGTGCAAAATTTGGGTTTGCTTGAAACTAAAAAACTCATAGTGTGTGTATGTTTACACACAATTTCCCAATCTTAAATTGTAAGTGTGACAGAATTCCATTTACAAAGTTCGTAATAGGAAGCATGATTCGATCATCATATTAGCCAGTGACTAAGTCTTCCATGTGTAAAATTGTTGCATTTTGGCCAAGAAATTCACAAAGCAAGTTTGATTATCAAGGAGGCAAAGATAAAAGAGGAGACTTCTTCAACCAAGTACTTTTTCCTCATGCTCCACTGCTCCCCACTTACTAGCTATGTGGCCTTGTACTTGTTATTAAACTATTTTGTACTTCAGTTTTCTCATCTGTAAAATGGTGTTAATAATAGAAACCACTTCAAAAAGGTGTTCTAAGAAATTAGATAATAAATATAAAGTACTTAGAAATAGTGCTGGCATGTAGATAGCATTCAGTCAGTGTTAGCTATTTTTATAATTTCTGTAAACTTATTCCAAGAGATAATAATGTTATGTCCCCAAATAGCAGGATTATCAGTGAGTACCGAAGAATATCCTATGCTTGGGTGCAGCTTTTAAAACAAGACCATTTTAAGTCTAGGCATTAAGAGAGGTGGTTTAGAACTCTTCATTGATAAATAATACTTAACTACAATTAATTGCTTTCTGTCTTGGTCAATCTAGACACTCCCTTCTAGAGTACTCCCTTCTGGAGGGCCTCCATGTTTGCCTTCACCTTTACCTTCTAGGAAACACCTATCTCATGCAAACATGTCAAAAAATGACATGGAGGGTTTCAGCATAGAAGATATATATCCTAAGCGCCATAATAAAGATAGTTCTAAAATCTAAATATAAATTCTGAGTGAAAATGTCATAACAAATCTCAAAGATTCTAGAAAGTTCTAACAGGCATAACGGTCCACTGTTTATTTTCAGGCAGTTCTAAGGTAACATGATTGTCTGTGATATAGACTTCTGACTTGTTCTTCTATCCCCATCCCCACCTTGCAAGCCCCTGAAGTCTTTGTAAAACTCAGCTTAGTTTGCAGAAGACATACAAGGGAAAAGGAAAGGTAGTTGTTTCTCTCCTCTTGCGGTATAATATTTGAAGTATTGGAGACCAAAGAAATGCTGAAAATAAAGGCATTTCTTTAAAATGCTCCAAGTAAAATGCCTTTACTTTGAGCATTTCTTTTAGTCCTAAAATCCATTTCATACTCGCTCTCTCTCTGTTGTCTAGTATTTAGCCCAGAAGTGCTAAATAATTATTTCTTCAAGGAATGAATGAATATTTCTCCTCTAATTATGGTCATGATATATTTCTTAAGTCATAGCTCTTTCAGAGAATTTAGGAGATGTTCTTTTTAGGTCTGAGAAGAGATTAACTGCTGATCTTCTAGGCAGGCTGAAAGACCTTATAACAGTTTACTGAATACGACAAGGAAGCCTTGGGCTTTACAGTGTTACACTGGATTGTGGGAAGTAGTTTGGTACATTATATTAGTGTTTATTTCCAAGTGCTATAGCTGAACTTTCTGCCAATGTGCCTCACACCCTCAATTTCACTTCTCATCCATATGGTTTCACGCATATCAATTAACTCTTTTTCTAGTGTAGGCAGCACCTAAACAACATTAAGTTTTAACAATAAAATTGATATTTCTATACTGAAGTGCCCTAGCTTTTAAAAGCATCCATTGGGAGATGCTTTCTGCATGCAAGCTCAAAATCAATTCATAGGGTAGGGAGATGGGGCACGGCTTCTTTTAGAGAATATAAAATCTGTAAAGTGTCAGGTATAACTTCTTGTAAAGATTGGAAGTAAAATATATTCACACTGTAGGGGTGTAACTATGCCATGTATAAGAGACTGACCCTCGTGAATCAAAAGAGTGAAAAATTGGGGAAGCTGATGTTAAGCAACTAAAAACCGTGCAGCTTTCAGCAGACCTCATCATATTGTGGCTTCCTCTTGATTGCTTTATGATGAATGGCTTAGGGATGACACTGGCCTTTGGTGATATAGTGACATGTAATACAAACACTGCATGGCAATAATTCTGCTAAGATTTACTGGCAGTCTGTAGGCTAGTTCAAATTACCAAAATAAGGAAAAGATCTCTGTTAGGGTAATTAATGGTTCTCAAACCATATGTTGGTTAAATAGAATAAGAAAATATAGTTCTCAAAATATGTTGACTCATCTGGCCAAATTACTCTAATTTCTTTAAATATAATGTGGTTTTTAAAAACTGGATATGAGAAGGAGAACAGATATAAAATACACACTTTAACCTATAGTCAACCTCCTGAAATGAATAAAAAGCTCAGAGTTGTCTATTTGCAGGGACTTATTCTCCTATTTATAACTAAATGGTATTATTTTAAGTTTGGTAAAGATTTTTTCATACTTCAAGATTATGCTAAAAAAGTGGGGCACACATGTACTTTTAGTCATTTTCACAGTTGTTTGAACAAAATAATTTCAGTCCACTGTGGCAAAGAGAGTTTGTAAATTTTGATGCCAGAAGTATAAGAACCACCACCAAAAATATAACACAGTGAAAGCCCACATGTGATTTTCTGTTTAGTTCAGAATATAGCTATATTGAAACGGGACCACTGTGAGATCCCCATGTCAGGTCTTCATCTTTCTATCTAGTATGGATGCTCCTGGAGGACAAGAATTATTTTACTTTGAGTCTGTTGATAGACGATCCTTGAGTAGGATACCCACTATGTGTACAATAAGCATGTTGCTAGCTAAGAATGACCCAAGAATACATTCATGGTAGCAATCTTAGTATTGAAGTAATGATAAATTTCCCTTGAGAGAAATGATAAATTTACGTGTTTGATAAAACCTAAAATAATCCAAACAAACAAAAAAACAAGCCAAGTTCTTATGGTAGATGGACAAAGACAAAATTTATTCTTTAGTGCCATATAGTCTAAACTTAACTGTAATTTATGAGGTCAGGCAGATTCAAGTTCTTACTGAACTTTTGTTGCAAAACATAAATCATAGTTACTACCCAAAACAATGAGAAACATTTAAATTTGGCAAGAATTTCACATGAGAATTCCTTGTACTTTCTTTGACCACTCAATAAAATACATTACTCTTTCTACACTAATCCTTCTCTGTAGCATGTTTTAGAATCTGTTTATCCTACACATAAAACACACAGTTTCTCACTGAACCATGCTCTAGACATTGTGTAGCAGAAATACATTTCTATGGGTGTTGAAAATGTGTTGGTTGATAGGAGGCTGCACACGAATATGCTTTTTGTTTTCTTTTAAGACAGTAGAGAAATAGATAACATGAGACTGACCTGATAGTTCACAGCCAAGAAGTTCCATTCGCAAAGTGCAGTGTCTTCGACAAACCTGGGGATAGAGTCTTACATATTGAGCTTTTATGGGTGGTGTAAAAGAGTTAGCATAGGGTGTGTTGTTATCAACATTTCCACGGAACACCTGTGTAAAGACATAATACAGAATTTAAAATTATTAATTGCAACAGCTTCTTTACCTATTTTCATAAATTGACCTTATACCTTACCCAATGTAATCCTTCAAAGGTTGTATTAAATAACTTGGGAGCCTGGAGCATTTAAGAAGCACCTTGTCTTCAGCAGTGAATATAAAACTTATAGATAAAATCCTAATTAAAGTTATAAACCATTGAGGTCAATGGCATAATCTATATCCCACTATGATGGCCTTCTCAAGTTTAAGGCCAGTTCTTCAAATCCAAGGAAATGCTTCTCTCTCTCTCTTTCTTTTTTTTTTTTTTTGGGAAATGGGCAACTTAAATCCTTCACCTTAATCTGGGCCTGTCTGTTCATTTTACTACTTAGTATTTATACATCTTTTGGTAGGAACCAGTCTTCCTTCGTGCATCCTGATCATCAGTCTCTCTAATGCTGTGATCAGATTTATGTTGCTTTAGGGTTTGACTGATCAAGATTACATCTTTATCAATCAATCCCATATCATTGGATAAGAGACTTATATTTCATTATATATCTCCCCAGTGAAAAACTGTTTCCCTGTAAAAAGCAAATACTAAAATGTGTCATTATTAATTCCTTTAAACCTCATTCTTATTTCATTTTATTTAACCTGATAATCAGATAACCTTATTTAAATTCACTTAAGAGGGTAATTTAAAAAATCTTCTATAACATTTATTACAGTCTACTCTAATGCTTGGTTTTAAATGGAATGATCTGTGGTCCTAATATTTTCAAAATTAAATTTTATGTGGAAAAATTAATAAAAGAATTTGGAATATCCTAAGAAAAGGCAAAGGAGATGTTAAATATTATATCAATTTCCTTTAAAATATTTTATCCTGCTTAATAACAATTACATTTTTTCAATATGAAGTACATAGACATATACATTTTTTCTATCACTTGGTGCTTTTCTTATTATTTAAAATAATAGCTTTGATCAGTAGTTATTTGATTAAGGAGAGTGCTAATCTGTAAAAGCAGTAACAATAAAACCGAAAGCTGACTATTGTAAAATAAAGCTTAATCATCATACATAAGACTATGCTAAACTTGTGACAAAGTATTTCTAGGAAGACCCACATAATCTGAGAAAATCTTAAATGTCAGTCACCTTAACTTTCTAACCTGGAGAAACTCCTACTCCCTTCACCCCACTAGCCCAATAAACTTGTGACAAAGTATTTCTAGGAAGACCCACATAATCTGAGAAAATCTTAAGTGTCAGTCACCTTAACTTTCTAACCTGGAGAAACTCCTACTCCCTTCACCCCACTAGCCCAATTCAAAACAAAAGCACCAGAAATTTATTTTCAATAACACGAGGCTTCTGAAGACTCAGTTCTCATCTGATAATCAGTGATTATCAGTGGGATTTTACTTTTCAATTGAGTAGGTTAAGTCAGTCTTACCATGTCTTCACTGGTGCCTTTCACTTTGTACATGGCCCAAGTCTTTCCATCATTACTGTAAGCAATTTTGTAGGATTTTATATACTCTGGACTTCCGATCCGCTTGGCTCCTTGGGTAATTACACCAGTAACTCTCATTTTTCTTTGCAAATTTATCTGAAGAGAGAAAACATAATCAACGATAATCTCATTGCTTTCAGGATAACAATACTGACAATATTGATTTTGGAAATGGAACATTTCTATGTAATAGTATAGATTTAAAATAATATAAAAAGCTACTAGTTTTCTTGTACTTTTTTCCAGGTAAATATTTAAAATAGGCATATGTTAAGTTTAGTTTCAAAATCTCTCTCTGTAATGGAATCTTTGTCTTTCTTCTTTTTTTTTTTTTTTTTGGTAAAGCAATATTTGTAGTGAACAGGCTTTGAAAGGGACAAAGTGCTCCCTAAATGTAAGTATAGAACACAAAATTGGTTATGAAATGCAGATGTGACCTAGTAAGCTGAAAAATGGGAATATTTTCTTGTCAAAATAATCTGTGTCATTACTATGAAACTCTAATGTCAACATAACTGTTAACGTATCTCAACTGATTTAGGCTTCAAGAAATTTCTATTTAAATTAAAAACATGAAAATATCACTGAGATCTTTGGGTATAAGCATAATAAAAGGTAAGGGCAACAATGATGACAGAAGCAAAAACAAACATGTAAGTATCTCTAGTTTCTGGATCTTTATACTGCAGTCTCTGCGGTGGGTTGTGGGAGTACACAATGGCCATGTGGGGCATTGGAATTTCACCAAATAGCTGCTTTCTCTTCCCTTTGTTATGTGGAGACTTTCTGTTATTTTCTCTCCATATTTTCTTCCCATTCCAAATCTCTTTGTAACAGTTTGCTGCAGGAGTAATAGACATCTAATAAAATTTTTAAGATTCTTTTTACATTTAAATAGGGATCTCTTTTTAGCACATAACGTAATAATTAAATTAAATCCTACAATGTAGGAAAAGCTTTATTCATATACAGTAAAAATTAAAATTTGTTCTATTCACTTTTAAATCCCTCTATGATATCTATAAAATCTTAGTAGAAAGGTACTGCTTCAATGTTCTTGATAAATTGCTATGAAGCACTCCCTCCACCAATACAAATCAGAAAAATTTAAATGTCTCATAAATTAAGTGAGTAATTCAGAGACTATGTTCCAGAGAAATCCAGAAAACCTTCAGATTCATGTAAGCGATTAGAGTTTTTCTATTCTACAATGGGACTTTGAGAGTTAACATTTGAAATGGTGGAGGATGTGCATTACAAAACCAGCCCTTCTATACTCACTGCTTCTGAGTTTCCCAAAGTCTGTCTTCCCTCTCTGAACATCATGAGGTCCTCATCCAACTGCTGCTCACAAGACAATTCTCAGTCTTATGCATAAATAAAACCTGGAATTTTAATAAGTTTAAGAACTGAGGTGGGGTAGTCCCCAGGCTCTAACGGTGAGTACACCCCCCTTTCACTTTTACAACACAGACCTTATAAATAACATTTTTGTTTTAAATTTCTGGGCCGATGGTCCCTTTTTTCCCCAACAATGCTGAATGGATTGCTTCAGATATCCAATTTTGTTTTTCTCATTTCAATGCTTATACATCAAATAATTACAAACATGATTACATTTTAAGTCTGATTTTTGTCTGGAAGCTTAAAGAGAATATCTCCAATGAATGTAATTTTTCATACTATTCATAATATTTATCTACATTTATCTCAATTGGTTCTCTAAAGATTGATTTTGGAGTTTTAACTGCGCAATTTGGAATAGGGAACCTCTGAAAGACACTTCATTTCAGTATGTAAGGCAAATTAGCACATTGCTGTGGAAGAGCAATATTCTTTGGGTATCTTATATGTGATATTCTTTTTATTTTTTTAATCTGAGACTTTTCGTAGCCTAAACCTTCCCAGTACATGCGACATAAACAGTGGGTACTTTGAATCATGTTCTCCCCATTTTGGAAGCCAAGCTCCACATTTGATATTGCTGAACATTTCTTTTTCAATTATCTTTTATCTCGTTTCGGTTATCTTGTTTATACCTCTTGTAGTCAGCCAAATTATCTCTGCTAGAGTTTTGGCTGAGGAGCTATACACCAATTTTCTAAAGCTTAAATTGTAGAAATATATCAGTATCAATAAATAAAAATCTGAGTTCATGTTTCTCTCTAAATCATTAAAAATGATGTTTTAAAGATTCCTATTTACTCCAATATTTAGAAGCTCTGGATATTTATTTTAGAGAGATAGAAGTTCAGATAGTAAAGTATCACCAAACTCTAGTTTTAATAAGTATTTGTAATTAAATATCTGTGCTGTTTTCATTAAATACCAAGTAGAAACCAAAAAAAATAATTTTATAGAATACAGGTTCTGGGATCACTAAGTTTCAGTAATTACCAAGTTTTTGACTTAAGATTTCTCATGTATCTAGCACTATTAAGCTTGGATAATAAGGAATTCAATATAAAGGGGCTAAGATTTCACCTTTATGGTCACGCTTAAATTTAATACCAGGAATCTATGTTGCTGTAAGAAATAAACAAAGCTTGGAGAAAAGCTATAGCATAATTTTAAAAACATCTCCACTACAACTACATCCTTCAAGTAATCCCCTTTTTTCCATTCCATTTCAA